TTGCAATGACGGTGTTGCATGGGATCTCCGTTGGGACGCTGTTCGCAGAATTCTATATGGCCGATCTCGAATCAAGGATATTTGCTGACCCTACCAACAGACCCCCAATATATGCACGCTACGTCGATGACATTTTCATCATTTGCGAAAAGGTCACCGATGTTTACAACTTACAGAATATATTTCAGAACAACTCCCATCTCAAATTCACCATCGAATTTAGCACCGAAAAACAATTGGCCTTTCTCGATTGCTTAATTGAAAAAAAAGAAGAACAGCTAACTTCGAGGGTTTATGTTAAACCGACTAATTCTGGTCAGGTCTTAAATAATCATTCGGATTGCCCCGACCGCTATAAAAACAACGTCATCTATAACTTCATTCATAGGGCATACAAAATCTCTTCCGATATCAATATTTTCAATACAGAACTGATTCGCATAAAACAGTTTCTCATCAACAACAACTATTCCAACCAATTAATAGATAATACCATAAAACATTATATCAACAAAACAAATAATCCTACAACTCCAACCTCTACAAAAACAATTATACCTCTATATTATCTCAATCAAATGCATGACAACTACAAAGTTGATGAATCAATGCTCAAACGTATCATCAAATCCAATGTCTCCGTTCCCGACGAAAGCTACCGACTGAAGTTCATAATTTATTACAACACCAACCGAACATCCAGCTTTATCGTTAAAAATAACCACACACGTCCCTCCAACAAACTAGAGAGAATCAATCTCGTATCCCGTTTTCTTGTCCCGTGCCACACTGTGTGTGTAGAGTTATATCGGCCATACGAGAACTACTCTTTCTAGAAGACTCACCATGCATACACAGAATGGTGCCATTAAGGACCATATGGAACAGGTACATCATCAACCGCTTACGAGGAACATATTGGATCCCAACACAACGATCCTTGATTATGAACCTGATCCAGTTTGCCTCAAAATTAAAGAAGCCCTTCATATCAACAAGCATAAACCCTCATTCAATAAACAAATAACAGCTT